TGTGAGATTTTTTTATTTTACATTATGTCTAGGTTAATAAAAGACTCTTTTTTTTTTTTTTCAACAATCTGTAAATGTTAATGAGGCACTGTAATGCAAATTCAGGTGGAAAAGGTAAGTGCACATTTACATGGATTTCAAAGGAATAAATCCAAAGGGAAAAAAAAAAACCCTAAAATATTAAAATAGTTTAAGGGTACCTGAATACTCAATAGACACATTGCAGGGTTAGGCAAAAGAGTTCCATGAGAGAAGGTGCAAGTTGTAAGAACATTAGAAATTGTCACTGAGTTAAATCATAAAATATAAAATATAATGGAAGCCAACCCAAAAAACCAACACATTGCAGAGGACAGTTTCTGAAAAATAGTGGTATTTTATCCAAATGCATAGTGTTTACCTTATTTTTGCTGGGGTAGGAATTGGGCTTTATCATTAGAAACACAGAAGAAAGTACATAACTGCTCAATAATTAGGCCCATTTTTTATCAGTTTTGCTGATGTAACAGTTGCCTATAACAGTTCTGGAAATGACTGGTGTCACCACCCAGCAGTGAGACTGCCCAATGCTTTCAATTGTACGCTCATGTTTTCAGTATATTAGGAAACAGCCAGATTGTTCGACTGAAGTTGTTGTTGTTGTGTGTTTGAATCAGGGTCAGACTTTCCAGATAAGAAAACTAATATTTTTTTTTTCACCATTATATACAATTCTGAGGATCTTCTGTTTGAAGAGAGGAACTGAAAAATTGAGTTGGGGGGAGGAGGAAGGAACGGGTAGAAGGGGAAAGATCACTGAGGAGGAGACTGAATGAAGTGTGAAGTTTGGAAAGGGGAAACTGCATTTTAATGTGCAAGTGGAGCGAACCTGGGATTAGAGGCAGTCTGGGAAGTGCACAATTGACAAGTGCTTGTTGGTATTTTTATATATCCTGCATGTGATTTAAGAGTGACTGTCTCTGAGAATGCAGCTATGCTGCATGATACTGGAGCATAAATATATTACTTATGACATAACTGTATTATTGTAGGGGAGTTCCTCTTGGAATACCTCTAACTTGTTAGCCAAGACTTCTCGGGATTTTCTTTTTAATTATGCTACATAACACCTATGTTTTATAGGGGATTTTTATCATCTTTGATGGTGGGAGTCTTCCATTAATCTGTACTAGCTGTTCTTCTCAACAGCTGTGGTGTTTTTTTCTCAGTATTGTGCATTGGGGTGCAGTATTCAGTGTCTCATTCTTTTCCTGAGCTGAACACTGCAGACAGAGATTTTGAACTGAAACAGATTTAAACAGAAGAAGTGCAATCAACTTTTTAAAAATATTCAAATGTGTTCTGGAATATTTCAGATTTAGTTATTAGATATTTTAAAAGATAATAATAAGAGTTAATATTATTAGGCAGAAAAAAGAGCACCTTAAGGAGTCTAAGCTTAATATACAAAAGCTATACAGATTGAAAAATAATCCTGATACAATTCTTTATCCTAGATTTCTTATTTTGAAGCCAAGTTAAACCTCATTTAAGATAATTCCATCAGAAATAGGAGGCCAAAATGTTCTCAAAATGTTAGGCATCTTTTATGTATGAGAAAGAATCTTAGTCTATACCATATTCTGTGGGAAAAGACATGGAGACCTTAAAATATTTTTGTAACCTTGCTGATCTAGTGCTTTTATATAGTATAATAGTCTATAGATATTTCACAGAATGGAAATCCCTTTAGCTTTTATTACTTTTTCCTATAATTATGTATTCGGAATCTCTTTGTCAGGTTTATAGGGAGATTCAGCTCCTCTCTTGCCTGAAATAAATCAGTCTAATCCATTTTCCTCTCTTATTTTAAGTAGGAAATTATTCTTTTTGCTTAGAGCCTAAGAAGTCTTGTAATTCTGTGCACAGAAGTAATTTGTTGAGGAAGGCTTTCCTAATCTTTCTGTCTGTTTGCTTAACCATGGAGATCTTGAAATGAACTCAAGAAATCCTGATCTGTTCTGGTTATTTGTTTTCCTTCATGTTTACCTGATACTAAGCAGCCCTGAGCCCTGTAGCAGTTGAACACTTCCCAGTACTTCTATCCCAAAAGCAATCCACTAAAGGAGTGAAATATTACCTTCTGCCGTGGAATTGATGCATAGGGAAATTACTTATTTAACAATAATTATCACTCAGCCAAGAATATAACTTTGTCATTCTCAACCATCTGTTATTTCACAGGGTCTGCACTGCAGAATAGCAGCTAATTTATTAAACTAAGGGAAGAAGTTTTAGGGATTTAATAACTGTTTTCCATAGGCAGCACTGAAGGTATTTAAAGGAATCACCTAAGAAAATTTGCCGATGTTACTGAGACAAAAACTTGGATTTGCAATATTTGTTTGAAATGTTGGCTTTTATGTTACATGGAGAAAGAGTTCTCCAAATACCCCTCCCATGGATTGTTCTCCTGCCTGTCTCCAGCTCCAGCCCTGTGACATTACAGAGGAAAGACAGCAGTGAAGACAAAACTTTTTCTCCTTACTTTTGCTACTTTTTCCTGGCTGAAAAAAATAATTTTCTGTCCTTTGGCCATTTTGGTTGAACCAAGCCTGCAAATGTTGAAGAATACTTTATGCTTTAAAATGTATGTTCCACACAAAAATCAATTCTTTTTGTTGCTTGTAGTTTGTGTTTTTTTAATTAAAAAATGTGGGTGTTGTCTGAGTACTTTGCTGAACAGTTTTTAGACAAATTTCAGTGCAATTGCAGTTTTTTAATCTAACCTCTGTGGTAGCTGTTATACCCAGGAGGCTAAACTAGGGATTAGTGACATGGGACATATAATTTTGAAGTTTTCCTGTTTCCCTTTCCCCCACATGTAGCCAGTTTATAAAACATAGATTTTAAATATAGAGTGGCTTGGAGCACAGGTATTTTATATTAAAGTTCTTGAGTGTTGAAGGACTAGGGATTGCTCAGAAGAATATATTGGCTCTAAAACCTTTTGAAGTATATTTGAATAGCTCATATAGCATTAAATGACCAAACCAAAAGAAGTCATCTTCTAGTTCCAATGTTCTTGAAAAACTCAGGAGGGAACAACCTGCAAAAATGCTTTAGAATCACATCAGGGCTTGAAAAGAAAATTATTTTCCCATACACTAACACTTAACTCTTTTGAAAGTAGAAGCATTCAGATAACTTTTGGCTGAATTTTAGGAAGAATTAGTAATTTTCATTTTTTATATACTAGACAGGATATAGATTATTTAGAAGCTTCTCATTCCGTAACAGGGAAGTTCTTGTGTGGAATTGTGCAAGAAACTCTGTTCTTTTACATCATCAGGATAATCAACTTGATAATTTAGAAATTGAAATTTTCTCAATTTTGTGAATGGTTTCTCTGCTCTGGGAGGTGAGAACTGCAAAGGGTCAACCTTATCGGGACCGTAAATGGGCAATATCTAAGTATAACCCACGCATCTCTCCTGTTAACAGCATCTGAGATTGACATTTCCCAGGCTGACATCACACCCAGAAGTGAAATGGTTTCCTTGAGGAAAGTGTGTGTGTTTTGCCTTCATTTCACAAAAAGGGATGTGCAGATCACCTGAGTGCTGGGAGTGAACGTAAAGGCAAACAATAGATGAAGAAAACACATGCTGCATGGCTGTCAGACAGTATCTTCTCATGGACTGTGAAATTAATGCCTAGATAATAAAATGTAGCTGGAGAGAGTCTCCTCTGGTGTTTATTCAAAAGAACTGGATTTCTCTACTTATGTTCTTAAGCAAAAAACATCCCTGAGTTACAGATAGCAAAAAAATATTTATAACCTGCTAGAATAAGAAAATTGTTGATGTAATTTCATATTCTATTGTATCAGTTCATTACAGATTTCATTTCACATACCTGCTTACACAAAATAGAATATAAGCATGACATCAGCGTGTGTGCATTTGCAAAAGCAAGTGCCAGTAATCTGAATGTAAATATGTTTTTAAATGATTCCTTCTGTGGACCCTAGAGGAAGAATGAATAAATGAAATTTTATTCAATTTTCCAAAACAACTATTTTTTCCTTTTGTTTGAGGCTTTGTTTTTAAACAAAACATTTTATAAATGAATTTACTAGGAGTTAGGTTTCTGACTTTTAAGGCTTTACAACTGAAGCTTTTTTGAAATCTCAGTTTAGGCAGGTGAGACCAGAAGAATCAACTACCTTTGGAGCTTATGCAAACCACAGTGCATTGTATCATTCTTCAATAGGAAGGTCAGATTGGGCTGGAAGAAACGTTCACTGGTATTTGGGAAAACAATCCCACCTGAAATTATGAGAAATATATAACTTACACCAGTAGTATCTTTAATAACTCTTTTTTATAATTACAATTTATTATCATTAATAGCCTTTTTCTTTAAAATTTGAAACCCAGTTACATGGATCAGATACTTTCCTTTGACAGAACTGCACATAATAATCTTAAGGTTTTTTTCAAACAAAATTTTAATACTTCTTTTGTTCCACTGATAAGTCATGGATTAAATGACCTCAGAACAAATCATCACTTGAAATGTTGAGCAAATTTTCATGTTGTTTCAGCAAATCTTCACGTATTCCATCAAAAAATAGATAGTATGAGTTCCCTACAGTTGATGTATATATTGGTACCAGTAAAATATAAATGAGATTGGTATGACCATAAGGATGTTCAGCTTATGATTCTTTTGTGTTAATTATGGAGACTTATGCATTTTGAACGAGTTTTTTATACAATGTGACGAATCTCTAAATCTCTAACAGCATCTTCCTATTTAGCCAAGCTGTAAAGGGCTTAAAATATGACTGTGTGGTCCCTTCAATTTAATTAGCTGTGGTTTTTTATTTCAGGGCTTACTTTCTCTTTTCATTGTAAGACTTTTTCTTTCTGAGTAATTTCAAATAATCATTTTGAAGGAATTAAGCATGGTTGGTTTATTTATTAATTTTTTTTTTTAATTTATGTCTTTCCTAGCTGTAGGTATCCAGATGAAACTTGAATTTTTCCAGAGGAAATTTTGGACTGCCAGCAGACAGGTATATTTTAAATTTTTCTTTGTCATTAAATACACAACAGAGTTTGAACTGTGTGGGTGATCTGCAATATTTTGTCACAAGCAAACTATTGCAAAGAAACAATGTATTTGAAGATTTGTTCCGATTTACATCCGGTTCATCAGTACAAAGGAGAATTCAATGGTGAATAATATTTGCTTGATCCCATGTTTATGGAAGCAATACATTTGTTGGCATGTTGTTTTTCTGCCTTAGAAAAGTATAAACAATAAACAAAACCTTGATATTTATTTGCTTCCAGTAGTAGCAGAATTATCCCTTCTCACTTATTTAGGTTTTCTGTTGTAACATTCAGTAACTGAAGTATCATATTAATTAACTAAACTAGATTACTGAATCATAATCTTCAATGAACTTCACTTAACACATTCAGGGGATAGAATTTGTACTCATTGAAGGGGATAATCAGGTACTTTCTAAAGATTAGGAGATGCCACCCCTATTTTGAGAATAGATTGGAACTTCACTGTTCCAGAAAAAAACCCTAAAATGCAGCTCTATCCTACCCCTGCTGGAGCACCCTCCCTCTGAGGATGGTCTCCAAGCTTCCAGCACGTGGAGGAGATTGTGGTGGTTAAAGCAGCTGAAATTGTTACCTGTTACTGCACCTTTTCTCTGCAGGCAGGAACAGAACAGGTTTGGTGAACAGGTTTAACATTTTCCTAGTCATTTTTAGAACCATTTTAGATAAAAGTGTAATTAGTAGCAACTCTTTTATAATTCTGCCCATATGAATTGTTAAAATGTCTATTTTGTAATCTTTGAATGAGAAATGAAATATTTTATTGATTTTTGATATCATCTCTAGTGTGCATCTCTCGATGGCCGATGTGCTATAAGTTGTGATGATGAAGTAAGTATTTAACAGTTTTGTTTTCCATGTATACCTCTACTGCACTAGAACATAAAGTTGATGAATTAATTTGAACATCTTGTGTACATAATGATCTCTTGGTGTATTTTGTAATCACCTTTAATGTATTACATTATTTAGATACTGAGACTTTTATGATGACTGCTTATAGACATCCACTTAATTACAAGGTTGACATCAGTACCTAAAACGTTGCAGTAAATTCTGCTTTTGAATCTAGTTTGGCAAATAATTTGAAGCAGTGCAAAGGCATTTGTTTACTACTTTATTATTAACTTTAAAAAACCATAAGCAGTTTAAAGTCTTTTCAGCTTGACACCACCAGGAGCCATGTGAGCACATGTAGAAATTTAGTAATTCTGAGAACCTTGGTGATTTAGAGATTCCAAACTTTTTCTTAATGACAAAACATACTGTTGATAGGACTCAATCAAATCACAGCTCCTCTGTTGAGTGTGTTAACTTTCACAGCTTCTCTCAATGACAAGAAAATATCTGTGAACAGATATGGTATAAATTAAAGCATTTTAAAGTAAATATTAAGTCATTAATGCAAATTGAATGGCACAATAATCAATAACTATTAATTACTATAAATAGAAAAAAAGGAGATTATCAATGTGTGTGATACTTTTGATTCTAAAATATATCGTAGTAATTTGAAATATTTAATTTTTTGAAAGCTTTGAATTTTCTCATTTCTTCTTGGTTTCCTGATGCCTCACATTTTATTTAAATGTACTGTTTTCTTTCTTTTTCATTTTTGGTTTCTTAACCCATATTACATTCCATTACTGTTATTGTATATTGGAGCTGTGAAAAATACATAGAGGACTTGAACTTGATCAAAGTTACTGTAATTCAAATGTGTTCTCAGACCTCAGTCAACATTCTTGCTGTGTTTATTCTGGACTTTATGCCTACGGTTTTACAAGCTCAGGGACTCTCCACCTATGGAACATTCCCCTTGAAATCTGAAGTTCACTGAACTTGAACCTTTGGGCAAACCTGAGCATAGTTCACTTCCAGTACCTGTGAAATATTGTGAATTAAACCTCCTGAATACAGCTCTAGTCAATCCAAAAGCTATTATTTAATGCATTAATCTTGTATCAGAAATATTTTGTTTGAGATTTGCTAATGTGTTGGATGAGTAAGTGCACCCTGCTACCCTTTGTCAGCGCTGAAGTTGTTACAAACTGTTTCTTTAACACAACGTTGAATACTGAAAATTATTTATCTTGCTGGCAAGTGATGAATGGATGGTCCTGAATGAGTATTTTTTTCCTCTTGTTAATGTTTCTAAAATGGATTGAAATAGAAGCCCTTTTATCTTCACATTCCACCAAAAAGATGCATATTCCATTTATTTCATTATGCCCTTTTCCAATAATAATGCTAAAAAAATAGTATTTTTTAAATTTCTGAACAATGCTAGTGAATGACTCTGTCTTAGAGATTTGAGACATGGCCACTAATTTTTGAATCGAGCCAGCATTTTCCCAACAGCATGTAACTCACAAACGATGAAATTAAGCCCACACTCTTTCTTGTCCAGCATAACTATTTTAATTTATTTTCTATGGAGAAATATTGTTTCGAAAGCACTATCTTCAGATTAATCTTTCATGCATGAGGACTGCAGATATGTATCCTCAAAAGAGTTCTCTGTTGACTTAGCTCCTCTCCTAATAAAGTTGGTGGGAGGTTTATGATGGACTTTGGGGACAGCAGTTCTGGTGTTACCGCCTGCTTATGAAATTCCACCCTTCACACACCATTGAGGTTAAGGAGCTGCCTCTTCTGAATGCATTAGCTCTACTGGGTTCTTTGCCAGCATCAGCAGCTTTTCACATTGCATTTGCCAACTTGGGGCTTTCCAGCAGATCAAAGGTTGGAAATGGGTTGTTTCAACTTCCTTTTTGACAGGTTTTCTGTCACTGGGGGTGCCTGTAGCTTAGGTTCCCCTATTAGAATGAATATCCTGAATTTGCATTAGGGAATAATGTTCATTCTGAACTTCCCCTGATATTGGTCTTCTTGCTTTTATAAAAACTCTACCTCAAGCCAGAGTTTTTGCAAATCTCTCCTCTTCTTTGCCTCACAGAACAGTACTAATATATGGCCAGAATGAGAATCAAATACATCTAAGCATTTCTTGCAGTGTCAGGCTGCATTTTTGCATCTTCCACAGCTACTACTGCATGGAGCTGCTTTTCTCCCTAAAACAGCAGAGAGATTTCGCTGGATGTGCATAGCAGAAAGTATATTTTCTCATATCTCTGTACAGCCCATTTGCAGCAGGAAAGATTTTGAATTAAAAATAAAGCTACGAGAATTCCTATTTTGAAAGCCATTCTACTTATTTTTTTTTTCTTTTTACACAAATGTCACAGAAAATTCAATAAGCAATGATAAAAATGTTTGCTGATTTAGATCAACAACAGAAATACAACAAATGTTTAACACTGAGGTGGGTATTTGGCAATCCTGAAGAGAAACTGAGTTATATCAGTGTTTGAGTTGAACTTTATGTTTAAACTCTGAAGCACAGTAATTAAAAGCTTGCCTGTAGCAAGTAATTCACTTGAGGTTAAAACAGTGCATGTGTGTATGCAGGGAAGCACTGATTTGGGTTTACCTTGTTTTATACAGTTTATATGTCTGACCTACGAAAGGCTAACAGTCCTACTTCTAAATCCAGTTCCCAATTAAAAACACAATTTGAAAAGCTTTAAGAGACCTGTGGGGCCTCTTTTACAGAAGTTTCTGGTCCCATCCCCCAATGAACAAATTAAAAAATATTACCTGGTCCCCTGTTGGTTCTGCAGGCTGACACTGTGTTTTCATTAATACATCGTTAGGGTAATGACACTGTGTTGATGTTTTTCTCCAAACACAGGAGAAGCCATCAGGAAGACCAAAGTTCTGAGCCTTTTCAAACTTAGTTATAAGGAAAACTTTTAAGAATGGCTTACAAAAACACTGACCATGTTTTTCTTATGCTTGTTTGTAATTATCATATATCCTCCCATTTTGTACACATCTTTGTTTTGTTTTGTGTGGAGCAAATGCGTAAAAATTAAATCGGATAACATCCCATAAGTCAGGACTACACTCACTTAGAATTTATGCAAACCATTATAACAACCTGAAGGTTTCACCCATTTACAATTCACTTAAAAGTATGTGATTAACTTGTTACTGTATCCTAAAATAAAAAATTAAAATTATATTTTATCATTTTTCAGACAATCAACTGTTACCTAATAGACAACAATGGATTTATTTTGGTGTCTGAAGACTATAGGCAGGTAAGTGAAAGATTTTTCTTCAGTCTTTTCACGTAACACATTCATCTAAAAGTACTTATTTCTTAAATAGGCCACCATCTGAAAATGGTAAGGAATCAGTAACATAAAATTAAAAAAATTCCTTCTACA